GCCTGTGTCCGGAGGGGTCAACAAGGTTGTTCAGTTTCCCAGGGTGCTTGTGTTGCGCCAATCAAAGCGTGACGTCACGCCGGGTTTCCTAGATGGCACCGATTGTGGCCACGAAGACACTGTGATCTCATCACCGTCACTATCGAACACACGCACACATGCGCATGCGGCCCCCGCCATACAGGAAGTAGCCAAGCGGTGACAGGAAGTAGCTGCGTGAAGACAGGAAGCAGTCAGAAAGTGAGGCGGCGGTCATGAGAAGTTCATGAGGTCAAGTTGTGGCGTTTTGGGCGGAGCTTATCGATCCCAGTGAGTGCCTCTTGCCAAAGGTCAAAGGTGAGAGTTCCTGCAAAGCTTTTAAAGCACCGACGACCGATCGCCTGATCAATACGGCCAGACCACAGCACCTGTGATGTCATCTTGTGTCATGTGGTCTCAACATGGCATTGGCATATGTGATGTTCAGAAAGGAAATGAATCTGGCTAATACTCGCAACCAGCCGCTATTTCGATACCAGCAAGTTTATGTCATTGTTTTTCCCACAGTTTTAACATTTCAGCAAGTTAGCATGCAATGCAAATGACTGACGTGAATGTGACATTTTAGCACGTAATCTTACCATAGCGTTAGCTTGTGCGATTGATGAAAGAGTTAACAGATTTCAATTGTGTAAAATCAGCACGTGATTGTATAAAAAGTGCTAATGCACTTATTTGAGCATTTCAGCTTGATGTTAGCATAAGGCTAGCATGTCTTGATGAAAGAACATACTTGTATACCCTTTATTAGCATGACACTTGCATCTTAGCAGAATGCGACAGTGCGGCGCTCACACACACACACACACACACACACACACACACACACACACACAAAAAAACAAAAACCCCCCCCCCCCCACACACACACACACACACACACACAGAAACGTGAAGACAAGACACAAATGCTGACACCATACTAACAAACACACACACACACACACACACACACACACACACACGAGCACACATTAGGAGATGAATGTGACCACACACACACACACACACACACACACACACGAGCACACATTAGGAGATGAATGTGACCACACACACACACACACACACACACACACACGAGCACACATTAGGAGATGAATGTGACCACACACACACACACACACACACACACACACGAGCACACATTAGGAGATGAATGTGACCACACACACACACACACACACACACACACACGAGCACACATTAGGAGATGAATGTGACCACACACACACACACACACACACACACACACGAGCACACATTAGGAGATGAATGTGACCACACACACACACACACACACACACACACACGAGCACACATTAGGAGATGAATGTGACCACACACACACACACACACACACACACACACGAGCACACATTAGGAGATGAATGTGACCACACACACACACACACACACACACACACACGAGCACACATTAGGAGATGAATGTGACCACACACACACACACACACACACACACACACGAGCACACATTAGGAGATGAATGTGACCACACACACACACACACACACACACACACACGAGCACACATTAGGAGATGAATGTGACCACACACACACACACACACACACACACACACGAGCACACATTAGGAGATGAATGTGACCACACACACACACACACACACACACACACACGAGCACACATTAGGAGATGAATGTGACCACACACACACACACACACACACACACACACGAGCACACATTAGGAGATGAATGTGACCACACACACACACACACACACACACACACACATTCATACTACTGTTACTTTTACCAGCCATTTAAAAAGCAATCTCAATTTCAGTCCAGTTGCAATGGCGCTTCTTAGTTTGTAATCACATTTAGTCAATCTCATACCGTTTTAGTTGACAATAAGTCAAGCATTTTAATTTTTATTTTAGTCCACCAAAACCAAAACTTTCAACATTGTATTCTTAGTTCTAGTCAAGACAATTACTTGACCCTTTTACATTTTTTTGTCAGCAGACAATATTGAACATTTTCATGTTCATACGCATTTCATGCTAGAAAAAAAGTTGTTTTCAATTTTCCGCGTAGTATTGTTTTATTTTATTTTAGCTATAATAACTGTTTTAGTTTTTAGTTTGCATCCATGCATATCTCCAGGGATGATGTGTGTTAAATCTAATTGGCTTGGAGTTTTTGGATAAACTCATACATTTGTCCGCTTTTACTAAACTTGCGATTCAACTTCAACCACGCACCTCGATCAGCACAAATTCAACTTCACACCAAATATCAACAAGTGGCTAATATCGCTACATGCTACAAGATTGTAAATTAGGCAGCATCGGTTTAACGTGATTGTTCGAGCATTAAAGCTGTTGGTTTAAACAACCACCATCAAACTTTTTCGGCAACTTACCACGATATCTTTGTGGTGTCTCTTCAGTGTTGTTGTTTCGTCCAGACCTTGTGATCACATTTCTTCCCTTCGTCTAAAATCGAGCAGAATGATTTTTTTTCTCCCTCCACTTCAACGTAGAGCAAATGTTTCCATACATCACGTCTTCTCTTTGTCCCGGGCCCGGTGAAAAGTACTGCCATTAATGTTTCACTTTGCAGTGGTTAATTTGCCGTTACCGGCAATTGGCAAACAAACGTTATTTTGCGAGAATCACGCGAGATCTTGGTCGAAGGAGCGCTCATTGACGTCCAAACCGAAAAAAATCATATAATTTTCGTCTCGTTTTTGCTCGTGAATTAAAATGTCCATAGATTTTATCCTAGTCTTAATTTATTGAACTACATGTTCGTCTCGTCTTCATTAAAAACACATTTTGATTTATTTTCAGTGAGTGATGATTAACGTAGATTTTAGTCTCGTCTAGTCTCGTTTTCCTCCAGTCAAAAATGTGCGTTGACGAAAATATTTTCGTTAATGTTAACACTAATGCACATACTGTTCTAAAACACAATCACACATGCTCACTTAGCCACAACCACACACAGATATACACTCCACGAACACAACACGAGCACACAAATACACTTACACGCTAACACTACTAAATGTACACACTCACTAACATACATTCGTGCGCGCACACACACACACACACACACACGCACACACGCGCGCACACAACAATCCCTCATCCTGCTGTTTGACTTTTGTCCCCCTTTACAACGGCCTTTACACCTTCATAGTAACAACTCATAACTGTTAGCATGTTGACGCTAGCTGCTTATGTTTTATATTTTCGTCTGAGCATGATGTTAGTATGTGTCACTTATGGACTTGATGCATGGTGCAGTGGAAGCAGGGGGGGGGGGGG